CTCCCACTTAGCTTGGACGAGCCCGCGTTGTAGGGTAGAGTCAGTCAGATACGTCTGTCCTGCAACGATCACCTTGGGCACCCCAGTATTTCAAGGTGCAACACAAAGCAATCCATTTAAAGCCCTTCAGGCCATGGCATGACGATCTCCGTATGCACAACGGTTGTTACAGGATAGAGCCCAGAGGCAAAACAGTCGAGGCCACAAAGGTTCCACGACTTACAGCAAGAACAAGGTTGGCACTTCCCTCTCAGACGACTACCACTCAGAGGTCCGCGCACTCCGAAGTCATGTCATGACACACACAGGCGCATGTCGCGCTCATTGGCAAGACAACGACAGCATCCAGCATCTAGCAGTCGCAAAGGAGAGTCCTTCTGTGGCATGGTTTTGTCTGTAGCATGTATGAATTCTTAATTCCCATGCCTTTGTGAAGTCCGAATTGGCATAGGGTTTAGGGTTTAGGGTTCCTCCCAACAAAGGAAGTGACGCGGGGTTTGTGGTACCGCTGGTTTCTTGCTATTCCTGAACTCCAAAGACGCCTGTCCTTACACGGGGGCCTGCTTCCGAGCTCGAACCTCGTCCCCTTTCATCTTGAAGCCTGCCCGAGAGGGAGACTTAAGCAAGGCATTGGGGATGTTTCTACAGATATTTTTCATGGGCTTTTGGTAGGGCTTCGAAAGAGCTTGATGGGAAGAAGGGCCTCCCAGCGGGCTCTAGGTCTTAGCTGGATCCTCCAGTGTGGTTCTTTCGGCAGCATAGCCCAAAGCTTTAGATCCTATAATGAGAGGATGGGAGGTCCGGGGAGGTTTTTGTAGGGCTAGCAGCGGCTGTGAGCCTCCTTCCAAGGCAGGAGAAAGCTCAGGCGCATGCGAGGCGATTGAAGCAGCATGCAGGCAAGAGTGCAGGATGAGAGACCCACAGAGGCCACCCCTAGAAAAGACCCATGCCACATATCAACACAACTGCAGCGCAACGGACTTTGTTGTGCATGGTTTCGTTCCACGCCCACATCATCAGATCTTGGACCCTGAACCTGAAATCGTCCAACGCTGAGTTGCAAACTCTCGACACACTCTTGGTGCTTTCTTCTTCGCATTAGCACCAAAGCCCAGCTACCCATGCAGCAGGCTACTGCCCCCACATAGCCAAGGTACGCACTCTGATGTCAAGACCCGCATGACCCCGACACCCTCATCCTTATACCTTGCAAGCCTGAAGCCAGAAGTGTGCCCCAAGCGTAGGTGTGGGTAAGAAATACTCTTACTAATGTTAATCATTCAAGCTTCTATAACTTCTATAGCAGGTAGCTGCCCCAGTTCGAGCCTGCATATGCCAGGTCCAACCGCCTCAGATTAGGCGACATGCACACAGCGAGCAAAAAAAGTGGTTGCTTGTTGTGCTAGGCTTCGGTCGCGACATCAATTGCATGTCACTGCTTGGAGGTTTGGTTTTGGAGAGCAGTCAAAATGGCAAGGAAAGCTGCTCTGAACATATCTGGACCAAACTAGAGGAGTCCCTGCTGACAAACAACTGTGATATGGTGACAGTACAGATGCCAACTTCCTTACG